TTATTTTCACCCATTGTTGATACTTTGAGCTTAATTTTCTTAATTGTATACTCCGATACTCCAGTAGCTTGCGATGTTCTCTTCAAAACTTGAGGAAGAGGAACTACTAAAGAGTTCGCCGAAGCTTGAGAAGTGCAAAATTCTGCGACATTGTACACGATTTGACATGCCTGAGACTTTAAAGGTTGACCTTTCTTAAACTAGAAGAGCTTTTAAAAAATTGGTGATTAACAAAACACTGCGAAAATCAAGCTAAATAGAAGTAGATTTGAGCAAATACCAGTACAAAAGATATAAACCAAGAATAAAAATAGCTAATAGTATTAATATAAAGCTTAAGAAAAGATGCGTGCAGCTGGAATGAAACCGAGAAGACAAATGATAAACTCTTTTCCCTTCAGCCAACAGTCGCCCAAAACAAAATAACAATAAAGCAACCCTTGGTTCATCCCTATTTGAAATATACTAGCCCTATTGCTATAGCGACCACCACCGGCCAGACACCGTGGCAGGAGCTGTTCTTGCCATAGACAGACAGTATGTTAATTTAGATCTCATTGGGACTTAAAAATTTTCATAGTGCGAAAAGTTGCTCACTCATACACATATTACTAAACATGGAAGTCATGCATGATGCAAATTTGAAGCTTTCTGGAAACTATAACGGAAGCATTTGTAAAATTCGGAGATCCTTACTTCACTGAACTTTGTTTAGCCCCCGTGGTTTTATATATGCCCTCGAATGGGCAGAATTCCAATTTTTATAAACACATTATAATTAAACAGTTTTTGTTATTTTCTTAGGATGAACCGAGGGCCACATAAATATGAATCAAAGGTTTGGTGTGCTTGCATTAAAGATGCCAATAAATATTTTTCTATGCATTAAATATTTATCTTCATATTAAATACTGATATATCTTCAATCATTTTCTGGAATTTATAACCATATTAATAATTTCAACACTGAAATTTTTAAACTAAAAAATATTTTCCTTTTTAGAGTTTTTTAGCATAATTCTGTCATACGTAGTTATATAACTTCAGAGTATAAATGATAAATTTAATGTAAGAAATCTATTATGCTTCTTTTAATGAATAAAATATAATTTCTATACATTATAAAATTTATTTTTATCTAAATTTTTTTTCACACATAGTTAAAGAAATTTGATAAAATGTTTAAGGATTTAATTTAGAAGAAAAGCAGTGTTTACCAAACTGCATAATCTCTATAATGTCACTACATATGTGCTGTGGAGATAAATTTCAAAACAACAGTATTTTTTATGTTTAAGCTTTAAGTTTTTTCACTTAACCCTTTAAGCGTGCTTGACAAACTCACCTCATCATCGGAGTGTTACGCCGTACCCGTGTTTGACGAGTCCTACTCGTCATCCAATTTTAAAGTCCGCATTTCAACGTGTTTGACGAAAATATCTCGTCATATCCTTATGTTTTCAAAAATTGTCACTAGATGGCAATAGTAGTTCCGTAAAGTGAAATATAATTTCTTGGGGAGACTTTGGTGTGTTTGATTTTTGCATTCTGGTGAAAATAAAATCTGGAAAGATAAAAAAGATGTTCATTTATTGAGTACAATCCACAATATTGAAATGAGTAAAGTTTCTTGTAATGGAAAAGATGTTGAAAAGCCAAAGGTTGTAATCGATTACAATTTATCAATGGGAGGTGTGGACAGAGCGGACCAAAATTTATCCTATTATGAAACAGTACGGAAAAGAATGAAAGTATGCTACAAAAAAATTTTCAGGCATATGATTGATCAATGTCTTTTCAATTCATCGATTCTACAGAGCAAGGTAACTAACAAAAATATAAAACTGTTGGATTTTCGAACTGCAGTCATTGAAGAAATATTACGTAAATATCAAGTGTCTACAGACATGACGGGAAAAACGGGAAGAAAAAGTGATGAAAATGATCCATTGCGTCTTACAGGAAGGCACTTTGCAGACTATATACCTGCCACACCCTGCAAACGAGAACCAACAAGACGATGTGTTGTTTGCTATGCGTCTAATAAAAACGGTAAGAAGATTAGAAAAGAGACCAGAATATGGTGTCCGGAGTGTGAAGTTGCCCTCTGTAACATTCCATGTTTTAAAATTTACCATACCCAACGAAATTATTAGAAAATATATGTAAGTTTAATTGTATATTTATGTCTTTACTTAGTTATTACTTTCTTTTTTTTGATTTTATTTATTGTAACATGCGAGAGAATATATCTCCAATGCAGCGCGCCCGCTTACTCCTTCCTACTATCGCGAGAAACACTCCCCACTGCAGTGCACGCGCAGGAGCAAATGCTACACACTTAAAGGGTTAAAAAACTTTTCACTTTCTGAAATAAGTCATATTTAAATCATTTTACTTTTATTACTCATGGTATTTATCACCTGCACTGAAAATGTATTAGAATATTTTTCAATTAAGAATTTACAGTGGAAAATTAAGAATTGATAATACAAAAAAAAAAGTTTAAAAAATAACAAACAATTTCTAATACAGACCAAAAAACAAAGATACTGATAATAAAATTAAAGTACAAGTTAGTATTGCTAGAAATGAAAAAGAAAAACAATAATAATAATAAATAAAATAAAGTATTATAAAGAATGCTTGTAAAAAATAAATAAAGTATTATAAAGAATTCTGACATAAATTCAGAAATATTTTTAAAATTAAATACAACAATTTGCAATAAATATTAAAGTACGTTTCTTAATTATTAAAAAAGCATTAAAAATTAAATAAAATTAAACAATTTAATTTTTAATTACATTTTTAATATACAGCTATATTATTTGTATACTTATTGCTCTTTTCATTAAAAATTTTCTTTTCAAACTTTGAGTTTTCTCATAAATATGGAGTCAACTCAAGCTCCACAAACCGCCTACAAGTTAATCAACCATTTTCTAAAATTACAATTGAAACTTAGTTCTAACATGATTTTAGCATCCTTTTATGTTACAATTTTGGTATGTGAAATTATTAAAGGGAAGCAAAGTTGTTGAATGTGCTTTACAGGTTTTATAACAGCACAATATATGAATGTAATACTCTAATATTACTGTGAAGAATGTGAAAATTGGATATTATAAAACATTTGTGTAATTATTTTTTTTTTTTTTTTTTTTTTTTTTTTTTTTTTTTTTTTTCTGCTTTCAAGCTGCTTTATAAAGAATGATAATAAATGCACAAATTAAAGGAAAATTCTAAATTCCTAAATTCTTTTTTCATAATAAAATTACCTGTGAAAATTTGAGAAGAAAAACTCAAAAACAAAATGACTTGATTGTGATAGGAAGATGTTATTGTAGCACAGACAAATGATTTTCTTAGGATAATTAAGTAAATGGACTAATACAACTTATCATGGCATTATAACTTTTAAACCTCTTTTAAAAAAATATAACTTTAGAACAAACTCAAGTAGATCCCTTCAGACTATTACAAAATACAATGGGATAACAACAGAGGTTTTCAACCAGAGAAGAATTCCACACCCCCGGGGGGGGCTAAGAAATGTCATAGTTTCAAGGGGTAATGCAGTCAGTCTTTTATTTATCTGACATGCATTTAGTTTTAGTTTATGAGTATGAAAAACTACGTTTACTCAAGTTTTAGTGTTTACAAACATTTTCTATATGTTCTAAATCTAAATAAATGTATATATGTATTTTTCAAGTTTGGGAAAAGAGGGGGATGATCTTCTAACAGTGGTGAAAGGAGAGCATGGGGGTAAAAAAGGTTGATAACCACTAAATTATAATAATTAGATTAACATAGGTAAACTCCAGCATTCAAAATACTGAATATGGATAAAATACAAGTATTGGCATTTCTTACTCCACGAGACTAAACCGCACTGTGAGATCCCTCACCCCTTAAAACCAGGCACTGAGGCTCAATCTCTACCCTCACACCTTGGAGAGAAGGACACATTGCTTTTATGACACCAGTCATTAACTGTGATTTGCTACCTGCCAGTCACTCAGACTGCCCGTCTCAGAGACCTCCAGAACCACTAGGTTCATGATTTGTATACCCCCACAGCCGAGACTACCTAAGTACAGATAGCTTCGCAGAGTTCTTTACATTGACCCCAGGGGGGGGTGAATATAGATAAAACTAAGCAGTACATTTGCAGAAGCAATTAGCTGTTAAAAACTGATCCAGGCATCTGTTACTGAATTTATAAATAATCAGAAAAGGCATCCAATGACAGTGACCACAGCAGTCTGAGCAAAAAAATGAGCAATGACAAATTAGACCAGAACATGGAATTTATACTTTTATGTTAACGAATATAACTGCTTAGTAAAATAGGTTAAATTTTGCTTCTTATTTTATTCAAAGTACATTAAATAAAACTATTTGTGAAATCTTCACACATTTTAAAATTAACCAAAAAGCAGCTTTTGATTGATGATGATTTTAAATAAAACTCTACTCAGTTTTATTCAAAATTTATGCCAATTGATAAGTTTACACTGACATATTTTTCTCTCAGTTGAATCTCTCTACATTTATTTTTTAATTCTATTTAACCATAATAATAAAATCATTAATAAGTATGAATGATAATGATTTTATTATTATATTATATCATCAATTTTCCATCTTTAAACAGAATTAAATAGTAAAAATTTACATATTTCAATGAATGTATTGATGACCTTTAACAAACAAACTGATTACATATTTCAATTTTATTACTGATTCAATTTTATTACTGATTTCAATTTTATTACTGATATCACTGATTACATATTTCAATTTCAAACTATTTACATATTTCAATGAATGTATTGATGACCTTTAACAAACAAACTGAATAAATAATGCTCCACATTCAATACAGAATTCACGGACTTTTAGTATTCTTAAGTTTTGATATGCTAAAAATAACTAGTAAAATACATATCAACTCAATATAAATGAATAAAAGAATGATATACTTAAATTACCTCATTTAGGGATGGTGTAGGTTTTTCCTTTTCCAATTTTGACAAAAGCTTTAAAAATGAGATATGGATTACACAAAACATTATAACAGAAGAAAGACATGCAGATAATTTGTACGAATGCAAATGAAATTAAAATGAATTTTATATCAACAATTTTCATTTTTATTTTATGATTTTATTCCATATTTTTTTATGTGTATCATAAAAAATGTGCATTTAAAACAAAACTAAGTAACAGAAATACCAACTAAACCAGTAACAATAAAAGTATAGTGTAAAGTGGGTAGTTGTGAGAGCTCTAAATTTGAAAGAGGGCTGCAAGATATTTCATAGATTTATAGCAAATCTGTACAGTACCTATCATAAATTACATTGCAATTTTGTGGGAGAAACAAGTTCTGGCTTGAAACTTGAAAGTCATGAAGAAATGAAAGTCAACGCATTATGTATTGACGCATGCACAGAAAGTTTGTAGCTTTGAGGTCCGGATTATAGATCATTCCGGATTAACAACATTTGACTGTACTTTATTTCAAGCCAGAACTGAGTCCTCAACTTTCACTTTTCTTAAAATTTATCGACTCAAACCACAAATATGGAATTTAGAAGTCTTTTCCATCGACAGATTTTATAAGTGCATTAAGTGTGTTTGCTCCGTCTACAAACTCTTTTTTTCATATAAAATATTTTTGCAAAATATATGCAGCATTTAGGACGGAACAAACATTATAATAATCTGCATGACCATATAAATGTATTCATCCATCAATAATTTCTAGTCTTGTTAATAATAATAATACACATTATGTCTTCAATATAGATTACGTCCATATTATCAGTCAAAGCATAAAGTATAAGATGGATTTGTTGATGAAAATGTCACAATAGGAAAGCAAATTATGTAAATAGTCAAAGAAAACATAAGATGACAGTATGATTCTGAGTAAATAATAATGAAATAGGAAAAAAGTAAACAAAATTCTGAAAAAATGAATCTGGAAAAAAGTGTTTAATTTTAAAGAACAAAGAGAAGAAGCTAATGCACTATAATTTATAAATATAACACGAGTTACTCGAGAAAACATTCACTACGAGAAAATGTAAACATGGAGAAAACAGATGAATGCGGAGAAGCAACTTCAGATTTAATCATACATGAAATATATTACATAAAAGCTTACAATTTTTATTTTAAAAATAAAATGATTAGTGACATAAATTATGTAACAGTATAGCAAAACCTTTTTTAGAAAATGCAGTTTTGAAGATGGGGAGAGGGTGTCATGAGGTGATGACCACGCATGCGCAGTTTTAGCCCAATGGCCTGCAGTGCCTCTCTCTCTCATATATGACTTACTAGAGAAGAGTAGCAAAGTAACGAAGGTAGCACGCTATATGCCAGCGTGAATGGAAATACGTAATTATACTTTTGTGTTAATTGTTCGTTCTTATTTTTATTTGTGGGTTAATAAAGTTTTTGTGCCGTTAAGATGGCTGGCTTATGTAATGCCCACATATAGTGCACATGAAGGAAACCTATATCCAGAACCTGCCCAAGAAGCAGAATATGACAGTGGTGTCAGAAAAGGAGAATATGTCATTCTTCAGAGTTCACGAGTAAATGCGTAAGTGAATCTTCAGAAAGATAAGGAGTACTTTGTTCAATTTATTTTGTGGTAAAGTAAAATTCAAGGTTACAAAAATGGCTGAAGAGCTAACGAAATCTAAGAAAGAACGGAAAGTTATTCGTTCATTACTAAAGTAACAAGTTCTATTGAATCATTAATTGCAGCTGGTAACTTTGAAGACCTAGAAGAATCACTGGAAATTTTTAAAAGTAAAAGCTGTTTCTTTGAGAATGTTAGATGAAAAAATTAAAACTTTGACTGATGTTAATGACATTGAAACCGAAATCGAAAGTGCCTTGGAATACGAAGAAAAGATTGCGAAATGGAGATTTAGAGGCACAAAATTATTGAAAGAAAAAAGAAATAGCAATAATTTGCTAGTTTCTAATGGTTTTTCTAATAATAGTAATAATTTATCTATTTTCTGGTGTCAATAAAAGTTCTGATTATAATGTTAAATTGCCAAAGATCATGATTGATAAATTTTATGGAAACGCTGAAGTGTGGCAAATATTTTACAAATCTTTTGACATGGCAATAAATCAAAATGAAAAACTATCTAAAGTGGATAAGTTTAATTACTTAGCCTGTTAAACGATGCAGCTTTAAAAACTATAGAGGGTTTTTCTTTATTGCCAGAAAACTATGACAAAGCTTTTAAAATTCTCAAAGACAGATATGGTCGAAAAGATCTTGTTATTAATTCTTACATGCATAAACTCTTAAATTTACGACCTGTCCAAAGTTCTAATGACATTAATTCTTTGAGGGAATTATATGACACCTGCAATGTACAAGTAAGGTCACTAAATTCGATAGGGGTCAAAACCGAATCGTATGGAAATTTACTGTACCCTCTGTTAATGAAATGTATACCTCAGGATATAACGCTTGATTTTGCTCGTCAAAACGCAGATGAGGAAAATTTTAATGCCGACGACCTCGTGAAATTTCTAAAATGGGAAATTGAAAGTCGCAAACGAACTTCATTAAATTTGTTTTATTCTAAGAGTTACGCTAATTCTCTCGAAAGGCATTCTCAACCCAATGAAAAGCGAAACAACTTCCACACTCGGAATTCAGTCAACACCAACAAGTTTGGCGCCAGCTATTCCCCTAATGTAAACAAAATTGCAGCTGTTCGAACGTTTCCTTGCGTGTTTTGTGAAAGCAGAAATCATGTTTCGTAAAAATGTGTTATGTCTCCGGAAGAAAGGAAAAAGAGTTTAAAGCTTCTGATCTGTGCTTTCATTGTTTCGAAAGGAACTGTAGAACAAAAAATTGTCCTTCTCAATTAAAATTTTCAAAATGTAATTCTAAGTATCATAATATATTGTTGCATGAAGATAAGGAAAAGGTTAATAAAGAAGAAAAGAATAATTCTAACGCCGTAAAAGCAAAGATTTCTTTTAAATATTTTACTGTGAATCAAGAAGTTAAGGAATTAATAGATGACTTGCCAACTGTTAAACTTATATGTGATGGTAGATTAATTAATGCAATAGCAGATACAGGCACACAATTAACCATTGCCAAGGCCAACATTGTACCAGAAAAATACCGTACACCACATGGAAGTGTTATCCTCACATCAGCTTTCGGACAATCTTTAAAAGCTCCTCTCATTAACCTACCTTTAATAATGTATTCTGAAGATGATAAATTTATGTCACCTATTTTTATAACGTGCAATGGCGAATAAGTTATTTAATGATTTACTCTTGTCATTAAGTGCTTTTAATGAGTTAAGGGAAGACGATAAACAAAAGTTTAATTTTGAATGCAAAAATGTAAACATTACTAATGATAGTTTCACTGAAATGCCTTTTCATGAAACTGAAAATTTTGTCGAAATACTTAACCATGATAGGGAAAACGTAATTAATGAAAAATGTAATAAAACTGTTGAGAAGATAATAGAATGTTGTGCTCTTATATATGAAGATACAGGTAAGGATGATTCCAAAGGTAGCACGATCAATGTGTTTCGGATTCAGAACTGTTTCGAGTGCAACAAATGAATGACCCATCTTTAAAAACATGCTGGCAAAATGCTTATGAACGGAAAGTAAGTAATAACTTTACTGTTATTGACAACTTTTTGTATCATAAAGATAAAGTTTTAGGAGAAAGAGTTCACCAGTGAGTTGTTCCTAGAAGAAAGAAGAAAAACCAAATTTTGAGACTTAGCTCATTCTAGCTTATGGGAAAGTCACCTGCGAACCAAGAAGACAGCTGAACGTTTGAGATATTCCTTCCATTGGCCTGAAATCAAAAAAGATGTAAATGAATATTGCAATACTTGTACTTCTTGTCAACTTCAAGAGAAAAAGCATCCCTTTGATGAAGTTCTGATTACGCCAGTAACACGTCCTAAAGAACCATTCCAGGTAATTAATGTGGATATCCTCAAACCTGTACAGCCAATCTGTAGAGGTTATAAATATGTTCTGTATGCTGTTGATCAATGAACAAGATGGCCCGAAGCGGTGCCTTTGAAGAATTTGAATGCCAAAGCAACATGCGATGCGTTGTTGCAAATCTTTTCATGACAGGAATCCCTCAGATTGTTGCTTCGGATCAAGGAACTAATTTTACTGCTTTGTTGACTCAACAGTTTTGGAAAAGGTTCGGATCGTACCCAAGGTTCTCGACTCTTTGTCATCCAAGTTCAAATGGCATTGTATAAAGATTTACTGCTGTTTTAAAGGAAACGATACATCATACCATTAAGGAACATTCCAAACATTGGGAGAAACATCTACCATACTTACTTTGGGCTTATCGAGAAGTTCCTAATGCTACGACTGATGTTAGTATTTTCCAGATGCTTTATGGAAGCCGTCCTAATGCTACGACTGATGTTAGTCCTTTCCAGATGCTTTATGGAAGCCGTCCTAATGGCCCTTTGTCTATCTTGAAAACGTCATGGACTGATGAAACTCCTGTTCCTCATGGACAGTTAAGCTCAGTTACCGATTATCTGAATGATTTAAAGACAGTGGCATAGCGAGGGGGGGCAAGGGGGTGTATGATGCTCCGGGCGCCGCTCGCAGAGGGGCGCCAAATGGTCTCCAAACAAGATTTTCATCATATTACTGTGTTTTTTTTTCGGGAGAGGGGGGCGCCAAAAAGGTATTTTGCCCAGGGCGCTAGTTATGCTCGCTACGCCACTGTTTAAAGATGAAATTGGAAAAAGCTGCTGAATACGCAGGACTTACAGATGTTGAAAAGCAACAAGCTTATGCATTCTACCGTAACCGAAAGACTTGTCATAAAGAATTCAAGGAAGGTGACAAGGTTACAGTTTAATCCCTGATAGTCAAAACAAAGTTTATGCCAGATGGATGGGACCTGCTACGATCATCAAAAAGCATACTGTTTATAGTTACATAGTACAAATGCTTGACAATTCCTCGA